GGGATCTGTTCCTCCTGCTGGGCTGCCCCATCCAACATGAATAGAAGAGGAGGTGCCTGGTCTTACTGACACTTGATATGCTCTGGCTGGCTGATTCACATGGGAGGCCTTGCCCTTTTTCCGAAGTACAGGAGGAGGAGTGGATGAACAGTGACTGGAGAAGGCGGTGAGCTTCAAAGACCATAAGCGTGTCTTCCACAGCAGACACCGTGACCGTGACCGGCAAGCTGCTGCCCTCCCACTCTGCCGTCTGGTGAGCCAGTGGACTGTCTCAGGACGTCTCAGGGATGGGCAGTCCAGCTGGTATGGGTGAACGTGGTGGTTTCAGAACATCTTCTCATTCCCTTGGGACCTCATTCATTCGCTGGCTGTTCCCATGCCACAGCTCCTTTTCCCGTCACCTTCTTTCCTCCCCCGGACACCCCGTAAAGTAAATCAAGGGGTCTTACATGTTTGGGACACCTTTTGATCACTGCCTTCTCTGCCTTTCTCTCCGATTCTTATTCCCATTTCCGCCATTCTGTGGACCTCTGGGTGTGTTGGTTCCCTTTCCCAGTGTGGTAACTAACGACCATGAAACCAAAGGGTACATTCACCTGAGGGCAGCAGAAAAACCCTGAGCATCTTGTCTCCTTGCTTTTTAATGCTTTTGTGATGCACATAAAATGCAAAAGGCTGTAGATTTTGAATATACAATTTGATGAGCTTGGAGATAAGCACATACCTGTGAAACCAGGTCCATAAACTGTGCCAAAATAACATAGTCACAGCCTCCAAAAGCTTTCTCCCACCTGCTTTATTTTCAGAAATAAGAAAGCTTACATAAAGGCTGGGCGTGTGGCTTAGTGGTACAATGGTTGCCTAGCAGGCCTGAAACTCCAGGTTCAATTCCAAGCAGGACAAAAAGCAAGGAAGGAAGGAAGGAAGGAAGGAAGGAAGGAAGGAAGGAAATCAAGAAGGTTGAGAAAGAGGGAGGAAGGGAGGAAGCTAGCTTATACATGAGATCAACCCTCTCAGCAAAACGCCATGCGTCCAGCACAAACACTGTTGTCTCTGGGGAGCACACTACACAGTAGACCTCTAGGACTTGCTGGTTTTACATGACTGAGAGTTTGTAGCCTTTGACAGCAACCTCCATCTCCTCCTCCCTGCGTGAACCCGAATGATACTACACTAAGTGAGCCGGCCAGATGGCGAGGAGGGCACCATGGAACCATCTCTGCGCTGCACCTAATGTAGAGAAGAGGGGACCGGTGGCACCCTCCAACATCCCTTGCTCTCAGCTACAGGTAGAAAGGCCAGGCTTCTGGCATTTCTCTTGGCGAGATCCAAGTGCAGAGCTCAAGGCAGCTTGTACACCCTTGTTCTGTCTCCATGACCTTCCCATGGGGCTAGTGGTAAAAACGCCACTTCTGCTACAGTGGGACAAACACGCAGGCAGACGAACAACAAAATCCGCCCAGCCAGTGCACACAGACTCACACACACGTCATCCCAAACTCAGAAGAGCATGTGGGAAGCTGAGACACGCATTTTCAGATCATGCAGAATGGGGCGTTTGCTTCTTTAATGGAATATCCCCCCTCCCCCGATGGTTCAGGTGAGTATTTGCCATTATTTCTCAATCTATAATCCCTTTCAATTGTACCCCCACAGGATGTTTTCAATCACCCTCTCGTCTACCTATCACAAAAGTTATTATGTGCCCTTTAGGTATATTCTGTACATACTATTCCTCAGATTCATTTCTAATTACTCTTTGAAAAACAATATCCACTATAATCAGAGTGGCTTTCACCTTTTCCTGTTAGATGTACTTAACTATCTGAAGGGCATACATGGGAAAGCATATGGTCCTGAACAAATCAATCATACTGATGTGCCCCCGTCCAGTCAGAGGACCGAAAAGCATCAGAGCTCCAGACCCAAGCATCACTAAGTATCACTAAGCATGAAAAACTGCTTTCAAGATTTGATGCCTGGTGGCTGGCTGCTGAGATGGCTCAGTGGCCTCCCTTCCCAGCATCCACAGGGGGCTAACAGCTGTCTGTAACTCCAGTTCCAAGGAATGCGACACCCTTTTCTGGCCTCTGTGAGTGGCTACTTCATGCATGTGGTGTACAGACTTGAGTGCAGGCAAAACACCTACACATAAAATATAAATAATACTTTAAAATGCTATAAACTGTGCTTAAATACTTTAAAAATATTAAATATCTAAAAAATTGACTTACAAATTTTAAAAAGCAGCTGGGCCTTTTTTTGCATTTTTTAAAATTATGTTCTTGAACAAAGAAATGAAAGAGATATGCTTTCAGATTGTGATAGACAAACATGTCTCTATAGTCACACACTAGGAAGTAGGTTTAAATGCCTGGTATTCTGAAAGAATGGAGGGTCCAGTCAGCTAAACTCATTTCTATACTTTTCCTTTGCATTTTGACATTCTAAAGAACTTTAGACAACTAATTACTGAGTGTGTCTGGGTTGAATGAACACAGTGGATATGGTGGCGGATAGTTAGTTGTAGGCAGACTTAGCATCTATCCTGGCTTTAACCATGGATGCAGATTCTATATCCCATAATAAAGTTGGCCTTTATGAACTAGCCTTGGGCTCTAGTTTGCATTGGCTCTGGCCATTATTGACTGGAAGCAAATGGGGTATACATGTTCCTAGCTGTCAGGACATCTCAGCTGATGAATACTGTGGCCCTCACATGCTCTTGCTGCTTTGGCCTCCTGCCAACACTCAACTTTGGGAACCTCACCATCTCTTGTGGTCTCCACACCATTTTAAATATTTCTTTATGTCTCAAACACTCATCAGACTGGATGATTTGAATATGGTGTCTCATCTCTTTTCTGAATGCACTTTGCCTCTTTCCTAACACAGAACTCTGAATGACGATGTAAAACTGCACCGTGGTTATACACTTGGTGGGATGGGGTTCAGCTCATGTTAAAGAATTATGTGACTGCATCAGGGGCTCTCTGAGAGACCATACTCACACAGCCTGATGCACATTCGAGGCCCAAGAGAACACCACTCCAAATGTTTATTTTATTGTTGAATTAAAAAGCAGAAATTGAAGCCATTGATAACTCACTAACATTCCTTTTAAAATCCCCAAAGTTTACAACCTACCAGAAAACACAAGCAAAATTTTACGCACGTAAAGAAGTTTCCCTAAGTGAAGTGCTTCTTTTTTAACCCTATCCTAATGAGTAAGTTACAGAATTATGAAACACACCTACTCTGTATCATTTTCTCTCCTCTAAGTGCTTTCTCTCTCTCTCTCTCTCTCTCTCTCTCTTTCTCTCTCTCTCTCTCTCCCTCCCCCTCCCCCTCTCATATGTGTATATGTGGTATGGTGTGTGTGTGTACATGTGTATGCATGCCCCACTGTGTACAAGGGAGGCTGGGTAGGGTTGAGAATCTGAGAAAGTGTAAGAATTGGCAACAGTACTAATAGAAGTTCTGCAAAGCACCTAGACTTGATGTGACTTTTCAATGCCTTCCCTAGTAAATGGAAGCAGGCATTAGCTACTTTGCCTCTGGTCTAGTGTAGAAGCTACAGTCCACAGAGAGTTATTTATTATCCATCATGGAAACACACATCTAAAAGCATCCATTCATAACTGCCCGAGTCTAAGAATTTATAGGCAACAGGAATATAAGCATAGGAGATGAACACAACAGCACTATTTTTATGGGAACACTGTGTAATGGACCAGGACGTGTCCACTGATACCCATGCTGTTCAGCAAGCTGTGAGCACTTGTGGATGCTGCCAAAGAGCATGGGCCAGAGAAAGAAGCAAGGCCACAGCATCGTAGGGTACAGACAGTCCAGACCTTCCCTGCTAGCTGACTAAGCCACCATAAAAGGAGGCTACAAAGAAGGTGCAATATGGCTCCAGAGAATATTCTCCACAAAAGACATTGTGTTTATGGGTTCTCATTTAATGAAATTCCTCCAACTATATTGTGACCTGAACTGCTGAGTGGTGTGAGGTACAGAGTTCTCCAGGATGGTGCTTTTCCAGAGAAAGGAAAGTGTTGTGGGAATTCATCCAACCATTAGCTTACCCTCTTCCCTTACAGGAAAGTATTCACTAGGGCACCGCCACAGTCACATCCTGAACTCCATAACTAGCTACCCTGCCATCAGTCTCTTCTTCCACAACCTCTCCCCGTCCTCCCAAATTACATTGTTCTCTACAAAAGCAGAGCTCCCCTTGACTCCTCATCTGCTTATTATCAACACCGTTCGGTAGAATCCATGCGGAGTGTTATGGTTTCATGGTCCCAGCAAGGTCAGTCTTTGTACACTGGGAAAAGCTATGTCTCAAACAAGTTGAGGTCAGCACAATGGAAAACGTGCGGCATCTGAAGGCATTAGTCACCCTGTCCACGACCCTTGCCTCACCCCACTCTTGCAAGAATCCCTGACTCCTGAGGGCTGAACAGAAACACCACTGCAGAAAACATCTTTTGCCAGAGACTGGATGGCGTCTTAAGAAAGCAACACGTTTCTGGCTTCAGACCATGTGATATTCTAGATAGTTCTGCGTGATGTTCTGTGTCATGATATATATATGTGTGTGTGTGTGTGTGTGTGTGTGTCCACACTTGTGTATCAGCTCAGACACCCTCTTTTTTTACTTTATCTTTGATATTGCTGATCAAATGAATAGGATGGGCCAGTAACTGTCATGAAGGACTTTAACAAAATAGGCAAACTTCCTCTTTCAAAATTCAGTAGGTTCTTGCATCAATGTAGCCATCTCTCTGGGGGAAAAAATTCCTTTTCTTTACATTTTCACTGATTATAGAGACATCTAGAAGAGCTGAAAAGGAGACGTGGAGAAGAAGGCCTACGGGGGAGGCAGGGAAGATGTAGGAGACATCACATTTAGAGACAGAACTCATCTACCTTGGGGGCTTGTCAAGGCCTGGGGTACCTGCTGCAGTGGCCATGAGTGGCTGGGCCCTTACCTTACCACACTGCTTACATTTTCCCTCCTGCCGCCGCCTGTGGACCCAGTGATGACGCACGAAGTTCTGCGAGGAAACAGAGAAAGGAATAGGTTTAAATTTGCCATCCCTCGGTATCCATTGCCTGATGTTTAGGATTGTAGATTTCTGTAAGCTATAATCCAAACGCGGTAAATAAGGATCAGGATAAACAAATAGGCCGAATAGATGTTTATTCAGGGAGAAATAACTTACAACCTAGACAGATGAACACCAGGAAATCAACCCGATCCTCCCCCTGTCCGAGTCACACCAGAAAGAGAGAGCCTTTCTGGCCCCCTCCGATCTCCTTCCACAGGTCACTCCCCCCGGGCCCCGCCCCCCAATGGGCGGGTCGGGTGCCCGAGGCTAGCCACTACCAATAATCCAAACCCATAGAAGCACACAAACAAATGTGTGTGGGTGTGACTTGTTCAACAATATACACGAACACACTCAAAATAAGTGAAGTTCGCTCTCCGCTCAAAGCAGTCTTCCACACCGTACATTCCGCTAACCACCTCCTCCAGCCTCGCCTTTCCAGTGGTCTGGACACTCACTGCGCTTTCTACTAGAGAGGCCGGTGCAGATTTGTGAATGGGATGAAGCATCTTCAGCTGAGAGGTGGCTGTGGCTCAAAGAAGAAAGACCCAAAGAGTGGTGGTGAAGAGTTGAAGGGGAGAAGCCGATGGGGAAATCTCCAATCCAACCGGGTAAGTGAACATGCGATGCTCCATATGTGGGCATGTGCCACACTCTACTAAACCTTCTAGCTGCAGGGGACTTAAAAGATCCTACTCTCAGAAGCATCTCCTGATAGGGGACACTGATTTGAGAAACTGTCACTAGGTAAAGTGAAGGAAGAGAGACATCAAAGAAAAGAGATGCCAAGATGAGAGGATTGGCCTATGGATGGCAATTGTTCATACGCTACCCTTGGTCACCCTGAACTAGACCAGCTTTCAGTGTCGATCCTTATCATAAACTGTAGGAAAGCCTTTTTCATCAGAAGTGACATCGTCACTGGGGGAGACTCAAGCAAGTCAATCTCCTCTAGCTGCTAAAGTGCACTACAGGAGGGAGTGTCACCTGTAGCACTAAAGATAAAGAGAAGCTTAGTGCACCTCACCCCTCTTATGCCAACAACATGAAGTGCTTCCTTCCCTCCGACTCCTGCCCTTCCCTGGGAAAACACGCTTTGGCTGATATTACCTACCATGACCCTCATAGCATTTAGCAACAATCCATACAGTACTTTTAACATATAGTATAGGCACTGTTCTACATGGAGACAGACAAAGAAAGCATATTAGTCAAAATACTTTGAATATGCCTAATAGAGAAAGCTAAGCGGAGCTGGGGCTGGTTAATACTAGATTGGAGGAAAATACACCAGAGGGGAGGGGAGGGGAGAGGAGGGGAGAGGAGGGGAGAGGAGGGGAGGGGAGGGGAGGGGAGGGAAGAAGATGGGGGGTGGAAGGAGGGAGGCTGGTTAGTTATGTTGTCAAGGCATGAAATTCCAGTAATGAAATGACAAGACTACCTTCAACAAAATTAACACTTTTAATACTAAAATGTCACCTCTATTTCTCTTAATAATATCAAAACACTTTAAACATAAGGTATAACATGGCCCCCGGAGGGATAATGGTCTTTTGATGACAGCAAGATCTAGAAGTACAGTGACCCCAGGGTTCAGCGGCATTTCATGTTGCTCTTCTTTCTGCCACCATTCAGTAAAAGAAAAACACAATTTTACATCGTTCCCAGAAAGAAGAGCCCAAGAGCAGCTAACCCTTACGAAACAGTCCTTCACACCTGTTTTTGTGTGGGGGAAGTTTTATTAGAAAGGGGTGGGAGGGGGGAAGGAAAGAGGAAAGAGACACAGAGGCAGAGGGAGAGCAGAAGAGAAGAGGGGACAGGAAGAGCCCTGTCTGCTTCAGGGGAACCGTGGGGGGGGGGGAGCAGGAAAGAGAAAAAAAACGTCCTTCACACTTTTAATAATACTTTATATGTAGTAGTTGTTTCAATCTTCATGAGAATGATAGTGGCTAGAGATACTTCTTAGCAGGAACGTACTGGAAAAGTTCCGGAGCTGCTAAAGTACTGAAATGTCTTAATTTGGGTCTAAATTTCAGCTCAGGGTACCCCTAACCCCCTGCTTCCTCTTCTGCTGCTATAGCCATGGCCGCCATCAGCCTGGAAACCACGCCCACCTCCTCATTAGTAAGCAATCAGAATGTAATTGAGTGGGTGATCTAGTACCAGGGTCCTCTCCCAATGAGAGCTCCTCGGGTTACACGAACAATACTAATGACTCTCCCTGAAGAAGTCCAGAGGACTGGGCTGGTACAGACGATGCCAGATGCCTGTGTGAGCTTCAACACCCACATGGACACTGCCTGCGGTTTTCAAGACAGCAACTTCAAGAATGTGCAGAATTGCTGGTGTTCATCCCATCAGTGCAGAGCAGAGCCTACACTGAGGCTGAGCCCTCGGCCTCTTGTAGAGATCAGTACCTCCTTATGAATAGGGACTGGGAAGGGCAGGAGTCTCTACCCACTTCAGTATACCTCAACTCACACTACTGTACTCCACCCCCCGAAGACCTAATTTTACTTGTATATAGAAAGGTCACTTAAAATGTAAGCATAAAAGCAAAATTCCCACTCACTGGCTGGGAGATGGCTTCTCCTCCCACAGGGTCTCTGCTTCTCTTCTCTGAAAGATTAGAATCACCACTTCCTCACGACACTCCAATAAACAATTGCGATGAGAGCAAGGAGTGGAAATGTTGGATATATATAAAAACGTCAAATAATAATTAAAAGGCATAGAAACATTTACTGCGAGTTAAGCAAAACCAGAAGGAAACATTGAACACTACCACTGATGTTAAGACAAAGTCTGTACTCGGTGAGATTTCAAATCATTTGGTGACTATCAATTTAAGAAAAGAAATGTCGGGAGAATTGGATGCAATTATCTATGAGAAATCACAACTGACTCATAGGATCATTTGCCTAGTGAACGTTACATTCAAAAGATTAAACCAGTAATTCCTACAAACCAACAGTGACTTAGAAATGAGGTGGTTGACTTGATCATGTGTACCACAACATAGACCATTTGGCAAACAGGTTTCTGGCACCCTGAAGCTCAGTTCATTTATGATGCAAAAAGAAAATCCCAACTTCATGGAAAATGTGACTTGATGTGACTCGACCGTTAGACCGTTAGACTTTACGTGACTCTACCATTAAATATCACTAAGATTACCCTTCTTTCCAAGGAGTAGGCAGGAAACTGATGAAATGGGGGTGCAGATAAGTAACTGATTAAACTTATTAAAACTGCTATTACAGGAGAAGCTGACAAACTTCCTGAGATTTTTAGCTGTACGGTTTGAGATGTCATAATCCTTCTGCTGGGAGTTCTTCTTGGGCCAAATACAAATATATTCTGCAACTTAAACATAATTGCAACTAAGTGGATAGTCAATAAATGTTTCCTGGATTGAATATAATCCTGAGCCTTATTTATTTGACAATTAAATCATGTGGTTACCACTTGGGAGAAGGAAGACCATCAACTGTCTTCATCAGGAAGGAAAAGAAAAGCCATTACCATCACATCACTATTATTTTCGAACCCTTTTTTGCCCAAGGACTTTCAATTTTCATACCATTTTCTTCTGAATGTGATTCGTGTCTTCTAAATCATTAGACCGAAATCAGATTCTTCCCACATTTTTCTTTAAACGCTTATTCAGAGCTCCTGAATTGTTTGGCTGAAATTAAATTTTTCACAGTGTTCTTTATAAGTCATATATCTCACATTGGCGAACTGGCGTTTGATTTGAGATCCTTACACTACATATCTGACTGTTGACATATTGTTGTTACAAAGGCCAACAAACACTTCTAAGACAATATCTTCTTATTGTCCATCATAGTTTCTGAATTATTTATATGCCACTTCAAGCCCTGGGCAAAGAAAAAGCTATTACTTATGGGTGTTAAAATATCAATGATACATTATCTCAAGGCTCATATTCAGAATTGGGAGCAAAGTACATAATATAATTGCTCAGTTACTTTCAAACAACCAATTCAACTCAAAATATGGTTCACTGAAATGCTTGAAAAAAAAATCTAAGAAAATCATAATCCAATCTATCTATAGATCATGAGTAAGAAAACTGACCTCACAAAGGCACAGCATAGGAATCCAACAAATGCTCATTAAGGAACTGCTTTACAAAGTAGGGCTCGGTGACCAGCAATCTTGAGTCTGCAGACTCTTACCAATTAGTAAGAAAAAAAAACAAAGGTGGATTTGAGCTCAGGTCAAACTCAGTCCAACAGGAATATTCTTTCACTTACATTAAATGATGAACTTAAGTAAGTCGACTGAGTCACGGTCACAAGTTTCATCTTCAAAAACCCTTCATAAACCAAGAGTTCTGATTAATTTGGCAAGAAATGGACCTTCTTACAAGTGCATGCAGGCAGCACATACCCAGTGATTACTTGGTCCGTCTATGCCCTGGCACAATTATGTGGGGACAAATTCCATGCATAATCCCTAGGGTTTACACTAGTGCAGAGAAACACTGTCAGACAAGCCAATGGCAATGTGAATAAATAATTATGACACACGGCATGACCTGAGTGAAGAGGACAAGGTATTTAGCAAAAATGATTAAGCTTGCTCTTCACAGGGGTCAACAGTGAAAAGCTCTGGGTTACCCACAAATAGTCATATATGGATATTCTAAACCCAGAAATGGTGGTCAGGAAAGGAGGGTCAGGGGGATGGGGCTGTCATCTATAAGACTGATGCCTTACCAAAGGGACCCCAGACCTTTACTTTCCTTCTTTCTTCCATGCAGTGACAAAAAAGGCAATACTCTGGAACCTCCAGGAGAGCTCTCACCATGCTGCTCCATGCCGCACGGGCACTCTGACCTTGGACTCTCTAGTCACCAAAGGTGTTTAAAGGACAGGCTCTTTGCTGATAATGAAACAGACAATGGTATTTGGTTATAGCAACCAGGGCTGACTAGGACAACCTCTGAGGATGTGAAGGTTGAGCTGAAAAGATCTGGAAGACTGTCATGGAAAACATGAGTGTCCAAGAGTGGGGAAAAGCTTGTCACACACCTCTGGAACTTAGAGAATGTCCCTTTGCAGGGAACTTAGAGAATGTCCCTTTGCAGCTGGAAAGGGCTGAGACATATTGCAAGGTCAGATTACACGGGACTTTGGAAAAAGAGAAATCAGCGGGAAATGCCCTGGTCTGATTGCTAGAAAAAAAACCAAAAAACAAAAAACAAAACAAACAAACAAACAAACCACGACCATTCTCCCTAAGTCATGGGTAGGTGGGAGGAAGTAACGGGAAATCATGGAGAAGCTACTGCAGCGGTCTTGGTGGGAAATATCCATACCTTAGTCAAAGTTGCCGATAGCAGGCATGCAAGTAAATGGATGGATGTGACATACATTTATAAATAAAACTGACTTGACTGACAAATGAGCAAAAATCACTCCCCCCAGTGTCTTCAATTGGGCAGCTCATTTTATAAGGTGAAAATAGATGGGGGGGGGGATTATTTTATGGTCTTGATAATATTTTGGGTTTTGATCTATTGTATTTCAGATGACCATGGCATATTTAGCGGTCATGTCAAAGGGTGTAAACTGGAAATAAATGTAAAGGCAGGGGCTGTCAGCTCTCCTGATGACAGCAGGCAGAGGCTAGAGAATCCTGACAAGTGCTAGACCCAGGGGACCTGCAGGGATGCAGAGCCTGGAGGAGGGACACTGAAATCAGACAGCCAAGGTCAAGGAAGGGGGAAAAAGTCCAACCCAGATGAAAGAGCTCTGCTGGGAGTCAGGAAGAATGGATTGTGTGAATGTTCTGAGTATTCTTGAGAGATTGGATCAGGACAGAAAAATCCTACTGGATTTCCTATGATCGCTAGCAACAGTTTCAGAACACCAACTGAGTAAACTTAGATAAGAGCAGGTTAATGTGCTAAAAGATGGCATACTAAAAATAATCCATACAGATAACGGTTTCTGGAAGCTTAGCCATGGACACTGAACTGAACGTCAGAGCGGCAGCTAAGACACAGTGGGTTAAGGAATGCTAGTGTTTTTCTTTTTGAATTTCACAACACTTTAGTTGCTGGAAATATTGGAGATAGGGCAGGTAGAGGTTGAAAGACGGGAAAGGAAGAGCGATCAAGTCCTTGACAAGACTTTTGTAGAAAGTCCAGTTTTAGAGGAAAGAAGTTATTACAGCCAATGAAAACATTTTTTCAGACTTGCAACAGAGACATTTTACATATAGTTATAGCTGAGAGAGAGAGAGAAAGAGAGAGAGAGAGAGAGAGAGAGAGAGAGAGAGAGAGAGAGAAGCAGGAAATCAATGGTAGATACATACATCCTTCGGTCAGAAGTTCGGTCCCTCCAATTTAAGAACACAAAAGTGCCCCTGAGACCTTCATAAGGGAAACGCCTTCATTTGAGCTGTCCCTGAGTGACCTTCCAGAAAGCTCTACAACTCAGCAGGATAGCACTAAGGGCAGAACATATGCCACCACGTTTCTACACGCCCCTCACCCCTTGTTGCCATACTGAACAGTGAGAGAAACCAACTCATTGGAGGCTCGTAGTTCCTCTCCCACCACAACCACCTCCAACCTTCCCCATCACTCACTCACTCTGCTGCCTCTCAATCTCTCCTTTTCATTACAAGAACACATTATGCTCACATATTCTCCAGATTAACCTCAAACGCCTAAGCTCATGCAATCCTCCTACTTCAACTGCCTGGATATCTGACCCCGCAAGTGTGCCCCAGCTTATACAGGGTCTTTCTTCTTCACTATGTCTCAAGGGGTTGCTGTCGTCTCCGTGCCGTGCTCACACATGTTCTATGCATGTTTCTGGTTTCACAGTAGAAGTCTCTATATGTGCTAACCCGCTCACAGATAGCTTACCGTTCTTTACAAACACACCACACAGACATGTGCGCAGAGGGGCAAGGGGACCCCTCAATCCTGATGCTTCTACAAGCAAACCCATCACCTCCCTGTGGTATCCTCAGCTCAGCCTCATCCTCAAGTCATCTTCTTCTGAAACCCGATCAGTGTTGCTCAACTGAAGCTTGACTTATTCCAAGGACCACGGCCTTCACACCCCAAACCCACCCTTTACTAAATCCTGCCCATTTGTCTCCTTTAAACTCGCCTCACCACACCATGTTTCTCTTAGCTCAGACGCTACCATTTCCTAACCAGTCTATGGCAAGAACTGCCCAAATGGTCTCTATGTCCCCAGTAGTATCAGCCCGGAACGACATGATGTTCCCTCCACATTGCACTCAGCATAATGTGTCCTATTTAAATAGAGTAATGCCCCTTCCAAGTCCCTGTTGACTTCTAGCCTGGCTTGCAGGGACTGTCATTGTCTAGTTCTTACTCATCCCCCCAAGTCACACATCTTACTAACATCTCTCATCTGTGCTGCTGTGGTTTACGTCTAGAAGGCTGCCGCTTTGCGTCTATCATGTCTCACCCCTTGCCTTAGACACTTCCTGAAAGAATCAGCCAGTGCCCACATTTTCCAGGAAGTCCTTCATCTGACCGATTTGCCCTGCCCATCTCACTGTTACACAGGGCTGATTTGAGGAGTACACTGGCTGGGAAGACTCCCAAGGGGTAAATCTCTACGTGGAACTGAAACTCATCTCACTAGGAGTGTAAGTAAAGGGGAAGAAGCATACTTACCAAGAATTCTTATACTTAAAGAGGAAATGAAAGCCAACAGTGCTTGGGAGACAGTGGACAACACCAGGGCCCACCACACCGCCATCTAAGGAGGATGGGTACTGTAGCTTGAAAGCTTTTGTTTTTGTGGATTAGAGAGTACAATTTGAGGCCTGGTTCTAGAATAGTAAGGACGGACACACACACACACACACACACACACACACACACACACACACACAATTCCTCTTGCTTTCTTTGAACTGTGGTACCTGTCTCCTCCACACAAAGGCAGAAAATTCAGTCCTATGTCCATGTTGCCTCCTCCCCTCACACTCCCATCATCATATAAACTGCCCTCCATTACAGTCTACACAACCCGTCTATTATTAGCAGATGTGCTGAGCAGCGAACCTAACTTCCTCCTGTGATGGATGTGTGTATTGCTTCACAGGTAAAGTGAGCAGCAGGGGCAGAATAGAGGAGAAGCTTCCCTGGGTCACACAGCATTCAGGCTGGCTCTGAAGACAGCAGCCCGACTCCAGCATGGACATGGGTAATCAGTAACTGGTGCCCCTCACACCCAGAACAGCTTAGACCCACCCCCAAAAGAAAGTGGCCACAAGACAAAGAAAGGATTTTGCTTTCTTAGCCTTTGAATCCCACCTCTACTTTTCTGTTTCGCTCATTAAGACCTTGGCAGTGTGCTGAGGGGACTTGGAGAGTCCTTGTCCTTATTGGCATATCAAGAAGAGACTGCTGTGTAATGAAGGAAGAAGGGACTCGTTTGTCAACCCTTGGTGAATCCCTGGGGGTTCATTGTACCAAAGGGAGAACTCACTTCTCTTGGTGACCTGGAGCCTCCTTCCCGAAATGTTGGCTTACATCTGAAATTAATCTGCCATTTGAAAAAAAGAAAAAAGTGTGTTAGGCCAGTGATAAGTGAATAGAATTACCTGAAACCAAAAACAACCAACAGCTGTTGACACTGAGACTATAAAACAAAAACCCGCAAAGAATAAGCCATCCTCTCCTTAAAGCGTCTCCCTAGATAATCCACATTGGCACGGAAAGATTTCACACCTCCAGCCAGTGCCCCTGCGTTGCCATAGATGAAATCTAACTTAGCCTGTGAATTTGAGGAAGAAGTCATAGTCAAAGATGAAACATGTGGCAGCCGAGCCCATCCGGTTGAGTTAGATTTTTAAAAGTAGAAAATATAAACCCGGGAGGTCCTAACTGCTGTGACAGCCATTCAAACACACGCACAGATATTCCCTGGAAGGGACTCAGCACCACCTTGCTTTGTAGACAGAAGACGTCCTCGTGGCCACCTTTGCTCCTGTATAAAGTGAAGCAGAGTGGAGACAAGAAAGAATATATTCGAAGGGTCAGGCGCGGCTGTAAGACATAAATTGACCGCAGCTGGTGGAGTGGGTGAAGCTAAGCAAACACTGCACAAATCTAAAATAGCCCCACCGTGTTTACAAATGGCAGCATGAGAGTATAGATTCCACGTCTCCTGCCTGGACATGGAGTAAGAATTATAAATGACAGCAGCAGGCAACTCTCTAATAGAGAATCCCCCCCCCCCCGCCTTCCCCGCAGTTGATAAATAGACATTCAGAATCCATTTCTGGAGACGAGACACCACCCTTGGGATGCCCCTCACAGCTCAGCCACACATTTATGCTGCACCAGCAAAAAAAAAAAAAAAAAGCAGCGCTGCAGTGGAGTCTGAGAGCCGCTTCCCACTTTCCGCTGGCTTGGCTCTCTCCCTGGGAGACATATGGAAGCTTTGATATTGTAAAGCTTATTGCATTTTCCCCCCTTAAAGGAAACACGTTGTGGAAGAGGAGACTAACAGGGAACTGTGTGTGGCTATGCTTTCCCTGAAGCCAACACAGCACAATATCAAATTAAACAGGAAGGCGGAAGGATGAGTGGCCTTTGTAACAGTTTTCACTGTTAACTCTGGTAGTCATACGGAACTCACAGTTTTCATTTCTGCTCTTGGTTTTTAAGGCCCTTGTTTCAGAAAGAAGTTAGAAGTTGACACCAAATCCTGGCAGCGAATTAATTGCAGCGAACACATTCGCCAGCAGGTGGCGCTCTCTTACCTTCTCTAGTTGCTCAATGCAGGCAGTGTGGACTACGATTTTGCAGACCGCGCATTTCCTCCTGAGAGCGGATTTCTACAACAGTCAATTCAAAATACAGGAAAGACATGTTAGTGAGCTATTCTGGGGACTTCCCTGCTATGAAAGAGAGACTCCGGAAATCAAGAAAAATCGTAATTACTTCTGTTACTAAGCAAACTGAAAACCCCTAAACATGTCAAGGTACCCGCATACCAGTGACCTAGATGGCCGCTTGCAACTCTGACAATACAGCCTGTTACAGATAGGGCCTGTAGTATAAGCCAAACCCTCTATTCTGTTACACCTGTTTTCAGGGTTACAGCTGAACAATGAAAGCACTGTCCTCAAGTTTTCCTACCCATTTCACACTTTTCCAATTCATTTGTGCCATTGAGGGACAGAGGCAGCGTTCTTATGTCCTATGTACAAATCAAGCACACCATCCTTACTATCAGAGGCTATATTTCAATGGCCGATCGCTTCAGGTTTCTGTTCTAGACACAAATATACACTGTGCTATTTGGGTTTCTACTCATATCTTCAGGTAGGAGATTACAAGTCTGGCGTCACATCCAGGTAACAACAACAAGAACAACAATAATAAATAATAACAAGGACAGCAGACACCACTGGTAAGATTATTAAGTCTTGCTCTGTCTTCATGGGCACTTCACAGATGGTAACTCACTTAACTTTTACAGCCCTAGGAAGAAGACACAGCCCTTATCCCTCCCACACAAATGAGAAAACCCATACACAGTTAGTGAGTGACCTGTCCAAGGCCTGCTAATTAGGCCAGAGCACACACAATCTGCCTGGCTCCTAAGCATCATAAAATGTGACCTTGATAGCCTTGGGCACATGTGTAAATTCACAGTGCACAGCTTCCTAGGGTCTAGTGTGTCTCCAACAATTAAAACCCCAAGTGTGGTGCACGTAGAGATGTCTGAGTGGGCTCAGACATCATTCCTGCCAGCATCATTGGAGGCTCTGCCAGGGGCGTGCATGGCCCTCTACAAGCACAGGCCTGAAGGAAGAGCCACCTTCAGAATTCTGTTTGATGGTAGTAACCAACATGACAGGAAGTAACTGTACTGCTATGTGTAAGGATCCTAGACATTCTAAACACTGTAAATATTTACTGCCCCCCAACAGGTCATCTTTAAACCAGTGTCCCCTTCCCCGAGATGATGAACTGGAATCAAGTATTTAACGAATCACTTGATGGGTTAGTTGCTATTCTTTGTGTTAAGGCACAGTTCTTTTTAAACCTAGTACTAAAATAACCTAAATATTGCATGGGATTCCAAACACACTTTGAGCCCAGACACTCACAATAACAAGAGACTCCAAAGAGCCCAGGTGGGAAAGGCTGGGAGACCCTGTACATTTGGGAAGTATCAATGCAGATTGATGGTAACCTGTGTCTGGTGAGTGGCTTGCTGGGGAAGGACAATGGAGCCCAGTAGAGCCGACAGATGAGGAGCACACATAACACGGCTACTGCAAAGAAAGGTCCCTGGAGAGATGGGCTGCAGACAGCCCTGGGGATGCTGGAGGAGCAGAAGGGAAGGAATGACCACCTCCTAGTTCCTCTATGGTCCAATCATTCAACAACACTGGACATCTGCCTCTGTGGACAGCAGTGATAACTTTGTCACCAGCGACTACACTTGTAGCTGTGTTTACGGACTCTAAACAGGTTACCTCCCTCTTTGCTTGACCTTCCTAATGGACTTGAAACGTGTGTGGCCTCCTCTTGGCTTTGACCTTCCTAATATGACACAGGACAAGAAGTATGTTTGACAACTAACTGATTTTTTTTTCAAACGACAAAGGATAAGGGAGACCAAGACGCCTAAGGATGTTGTTGAAAGTGTCTTGTTCTACAACCAAAACAGAGGAGGAATAGGAAGGAAGAAGATGAGGAAGAGGAGGGATACACACAGCCATGAGCAGAAGACTGTGGCTGCAATCCTAGCAATGGCAGTCGTCACAAAAACAGCAGCAGCAATAATAAAATCTGACTGCAAATTTTCATAACTAGAATGCTCATAAACAAATGGCAGCCCCTCCTTCTTCTCTGTGGATATCCTGGTCAGATCTCTGCATGGGTATCACCTGCAGGAAGTATTTGTGATATTGGAGTCACGTTGCCAAGGAAACTGGAGTTGATGGTTGTGCTTCCCACCTCCCCTCCAGTCCTTAATAGATTACACCACACACATGCGACACAACACTACTCAAAATGGGAAACATTTATGATCATGGGGCCTGGAAAGCATTCTCCCTATCAATGACACCTACCTCCTTCTGCCGCTGTGCCCTACTGTCCTCGTTATTTGTTAGTCTAGAGACCACCAGGAATTCTAAGAAGCCTCCGTGTCTCACAGGATCCTAGGCCACTGAGATTGGACTCCTTCCTCGTAACTGACTTTGGACCTCAGAAACATCACAACCATCCCTGTTTAGCTTTAAAGGACCACATGGAAAAACACAGAGATACCAAGCTCATTGAGGCCTGTTAAGTGAAAGCTTCCTCCTCAAGGTCAAAAGAACAAAACCTAAGTCCTGTCTCTGGCTCTTGGTGGCAACATGACTTTCCAATCTGTTTGAAAGATAGACTACATCTTCTTATCTGTATATATGCCATATTATTTTCCCCTTTCTTAAAGGGCTAGTCCAACTGGAGCTGTCAATCACCTGGCCATGAGTCCACCTCTCAAGGAAACAGATTCATCTAAACATATATTAAGGAGATGGGAGGAATAATTACCCCTTTAATGAGAATGTACTTCTCAGAAGCCTCTCCCCGGATACAGCTACTTATCACATGGTGTACAACCAAGCCTGTACAATTTCCTGGGCTCCCAAACTGTAGTTTTGTCTTTACTTTCCATCTTTTTCAGGTCCTGTCCAGAGACACACACATGCTTTCCCTGATGCTCTGGGTTTTCTCTGGATTTTCTTTTTCTACCATGCAACTGCTTGTTGACCTCCATTGCAAAACAGGCTGGTTTCCTTAGACCCAAAAGGCATGACTTTCTTTCTTCCCATTCTCCATCTCCCTCCTCCAGACAGTTGCCAAGGTTTAGAGTTTGCTTGCCCTGTTGTTTTATGCACAAATTCTAATAAAACTGTCCTCCAGTTTTCTTCTAATTCCATTTCCATTTTTTTAATTAATGAGATTAATACAGGACTCATACAAAGAAGCCCTGTTTCTCCAGCACTGGGTGGAGGCTAGGAAGGAGAACACCGGCTAGACTCAGGAAGTCCTGTGTACTCACTGAAACCAGAATACATACCTCCTCCTTTCCTTGCTTTTCATGTGACAATATTGCATCATAATCATTTCTAGAACAAGGGATCCTGGCTTATGTTGGGAGGCCATGTTGGTCAGAGGTTGCAGTCTACCAGGCATGGCAGCTGTTTCCAACCAAAACAATATGGAGGACTTCCTCCCAGCAGAGGGCTTCCTGCTTTCTGTCTGACCTTATTTGGGGATGTCTCTAGGCCCAGACGCTTAACTTACCTGTAGTGTGACCCTTGACACAGTTCCCTGAAGAAGCTTTCCCCCAGCTGCTCATATGATAATTAGATATTGTGCTAGGAGCTCTAGGATAGGAGATACCCCAGCCACTGTTCCCATTCTTTACCTCTCCCCTCACTCTTGAATGAAGTTGCGCTGTCTCTTGGAAGGCTATTTCTGCTGTGTTCAGGGACCACACAAAGCCCTCTGTTACCACTTCTGTCCCTTTGTCCTCGCAGCCTGGTAGCAAATCGACCATGAAGTAAACGGGAACCTCAAAGTTTACAAGAGCCTAAGAACCACAGAGTTAATATAAATCCTCTCTCAGCTTTCTGTGTTATCTAAAAAACACTAACATCATTCATCTTAATTAATTCAAGCATGAAAGTCTATGGATGACAATGTCCTAAAGCTAACTTTATTTCAATAATAGAGAATTTCCAAAGACCTTCTTAAAATACATTACACGCTCTGGCTCTTTTGATTCAGAATACCCAAGCCACAATCTAAACTCCCATCATCAACCCTGTGTAATGCCCCACAGGACAAAGATCAGTCCATTTGCCCGATCCTCTGACCAGAGCTCCCTGCAAACCACTGCTCCCGTGCAAACAGCGTCCTAAGTGGCAGCTCCTAAACAGCTTTGAGCCTGAAAAGTCAGTAGTTAATGTCCCCAGCCATGATGGCTGATCTTCCTTATCATCCTGATGGGATTTAGAATAAGAAGGGATTAACTGATGTAGGACCAACAATGGGTAGCACCTTGCTTGGGCTGTATGAGGCAAAAACAGAGTTGCCTGCCCGCCTGCCCGCCTGCCTGCCTGCCTGCCTGCCCAACTGCCTGCCTGCCTGCCTGTCCAACTGCCTGCACCGCTTTCTTCCTGAATGCCTATGTCCTGAGCGGTTGCCAGTCTCCTCTTTTGACTTCAGAGTCCAGCTTCTTTGCCCTTCTTATGTAGACAGCCCCAGTGACTCTCCAGGGAGCTTGTAGGTGTCTGCATTGTCAACTGGGCAGCCATTGGTTACAGCATCAAGGCAACCAGTGTCAGACTACCTACCCCATCACGTGAGCCAATCTATTAAGTCTTTTCCATAATACATATATGAGAGAGAAGACAAGAATATGCGCACGCACACACACACACACACACACACACTCACGTTCTATTGGTTCTGTCCATCTAGAGATCCCTGCCTGATGCAATAATCATATACAAAGCTGTCAGTAAGTTCTCAATGACAGCCCAAGGCCTTTCTCCACCGTGGTAAAGAACGCGATTTTATTGTTTTTAGTTAACTCAACACGTTAAACTGGCACCTTCTTGGTTTATGTGTTAGATTTTTCCAGACAAATATCTGAGAGAAACAGTGTAAGGGAGGAAAACGTTATTTTGGTTCATGGCCCCATTTTGGTGAGCTTTTGTGGAGGCGGTGCATCATGGTAGAGAGGCTCAGTGAGGCACGGCTGCTCACCTCACAGCAGCCGGGAAGCAGACAGAGAAGGAGAAAGGATATACCCTTTAAA